GCACTCTTGCTCCCGTATTTATCACCATACCTGAACGGCTATTTTTTTCTTGTGGACGTCGCTTTGTCCGATCGGTCTTCCTCCTCTTGCGTCTCACTGCACTTATTCTTCCCCTTTGATATTATTCTTTCTGACAGCTTATCATTTTCTCCAGGACAGGAAGCGCGAAATGTGATCGCTCAGGCTATGGTGTGGCAAAATGCTTCAAGTATGAGAAATGCCGGGTTAATAATCCGTTCAGAAGAATGGCAAGTAAGCCAAAGCACTCGATGCAATACTAGTGGTCAAAGCAGCTTTCTGGCTGCAGCATGGCAGAGTATGAAGGAAGTAATGAAAGGCATCACTGCCAATGAAAAAATGCTTTTGAAACGAGCAAAACACGTACGTGCATCCACCTCAGCGGTCGCTCTAAACACTTTCAGTGAATTGAAATAGTAATTTCGGATCTGATCTTTGTCCTTCGTAGCCACCTTTCTCCTTGTCATAAGCTTTGCAACTTGCTCGAAATCCTTGCCAAACTGTAAAATCAACGGTTTCGAAAATGAACCAGAACAACGTTAATCAATCAGCACCAGTTCATTAGGAATCCGTGGCTTATAAGGAAGAATAGGATGAGGCAGAGCAGAACGGTGGCTGTTTTTTTAAAGCTTTTTAGGTACAAAATTACAAGAACGACAGGAAAAATGCGATGTGATCGCTAAAATTCGGATAAAAATTGGCAAAAAATTTAACCGAGTGGGTGAAAAATACCATCGGGGAAAATGCCCATTTGCGCAAAAACGTAAAAAAAAGTGAGGTAAAATGCGACTGTTTTGGTATCAAAGAGTGAGGTGACCCGACAAGGAGAGTGCACTTTCACGGAAAACCTCGGACGATGCTCCGAGCAGCCGCCCTTCGGTGTGCTACTTCGTTTGAAGAAAAAATAAATGGCAGCGCGCACCAGACTAGCCAGTGCGATCATGCGTTTTTTGCAGAGTTTCCCGCAGGTTTTTGTCACTACCGGCCTCGCTTTTTTGGCAAATCCTTCTAGCCAAACAAATTAAGACTGGCCGCCAAAACTAGCAGGAAACACCCCTTTAAAATTTCAACTTTCTAGCATCTCAGATCCCTGAGTAATGAATTTGCGCGGAAAAAATTTTGGGGGGCCCGTAAGCGGATACCACGCTTACCCGGGGATTGGGTTTGGGCTCATTAGTACCTATTTGGACGGGAACATTCCCATAAAATTTCAACTCTAACTTTTCTGGTTCGCGAGTTAGCAGCTTACCCGTAAAAAACATTGGCGGGCTCTTATGTGGGTAGCACGCGGGAAAGACCGCCCATTTTGGGGATGAGGGCTCGTACGTGCATGTAGATTAAGTCCCCG